AATTAACATTTTTTTAATAGATATTTTATGTTGTGTTTAAACTATTAATATTCAATTCAAAAGATGACTAACTCGTGTTCTTAGGGTCTATAGATGTTACTATCTACCGATAAAAAGATAAAACACAAAAATCTTAAAAGAATAAACTACAGTAAAAAAGCAATTTAAAGTATTATTATGTATCGATTCCATTTTGAAGCAGCTCTCTTTATTAAAATAAATTCTATCAATGAATATATTGTTCTAATATAAAAGAAATAAAAGAAACAATATCTATCTTATCAAATAATATATAAAATGTCAACGATTCGTTTAAAAATTTGAATAACCTTGTTCATATTTTACTCAAAATGCATCATGCGATAATTATAATTGTTTTCAGATTATAAAAATTATTTTCTACCACTTTTCAAACATTTAATTCAAACCTTGTAAAATATATAAAGCGATATGTTTCAAGTTTGATCAATATTTGCTTATTTATTATAAAATTTAAAAATAACTGGTAAAAATTATATTATGATGCAATCTATATATATTTGTTTTTTAACTCTATATTTTTCTTTTCTTCATCCTAAAGTTAATAAATTTCGTTTCTTCCATTGTTGTTATCATATTTTTCAGACAGGTTTTATTTTAACGCATTTAAAACGCTTAAGAAATAACAATGAAAATCTAATAAAATATTTTCTGAATATTTGCCCTTCAAAAAGAATAAATTTTAAATATTTTCTTTCAATGAATTTTCTTTGGTGTCTCTTATTTATGAGTTTCAAATGTGTTTGGCAACAAAATAGCCGCTTTGACACACCCAAATTGACTCCTAATATTTTTCAAAAGAGCGTCGATATATAAAAAAGGTGCATTTTGAATTGTTCGCAGACGATGCCTTAAGCATTTTTCTTTTCAAATGGTTTGATAAAAAAGAGCGGCAATAATAAAAAATGCACAAACTGTATTTATTATAAAATTCTGGATACTTAAGGTATTCTTCTTTTTCAATAACTATATATACACAGAACATTTTTTTTTAAATATAACAAAAATATATGTTATTTTTATTTCGACTTGTATAATTCTTTTGTATGAAAGATCGCCTGTTTTAATTTATATTTTTTATATAATTCTCTATTTGTAGATATCTCTTTTATATAAAAGAAATATTTGAAATTGTGTTTTTGTGTGATTTCAATAAGAATTTATAAATGCCCATGATATAAATGATATAAAATATTAAATTAGGAGTAGATTGATGGATGGTTTTAAGGAATTTATATAGTTATATTTTATGTGCATTAAAATAATTTTCAATTATATATATGTCATAATTTGTATATAACTAGATGTAACCCCACCACAATATATATGCAATGTATGATCTAAAGATTTTAATAAAAGTTAGGCATAGCGAATCTGGGAGAAAGGCCATCAGAGAAGAAACAATCATTAACAGGTTTTCATTATCCAGGAAGCAAAAGTTATTACCCAGGAACTAATAAAACTGAGTTCAAGAACCTTCTTCTTCCGGGAGCATGTTAAAACATGATAAAGACAAAGGACTAGCTAAGATCCAATAAGAGTCCAGCAGGACTAGCTAAGATCCAATCAGAGACCGCCACGAGACGAGAATCATCCAATGAGAGCACTGAGGAGTTAACGAGTTAAATCTCGGACTCAAGTTAGGGAGAGGAGCTCGACACCATCGCAAGTAGTTAGGAGCTGGACACCACAGCAAGCAGTACGCTTCAAGCCCTTCTAATCACCCAGATAAGTCCAAGGTTCAATATGTGAACAGCCTAGCCATTAGTCAAATACGCCAATAGTCTAAACCTTCTCTCCCTTGATCGCTGGCCTATTTCTCAATCCAATCCTGTGTCCTTTCTCGTTATTTTCCCCTGTGAGAAAACTTTACCATTTCAGCCAAAACGACTGCGCCCACATCAACCACCAAGTAAGTCAACAGGGTCTTACTACTACTTACGACAACCAACCATCCAAAACCAATCAATCAAACAATCACCCAAAGTCCCCGATCTATTACATATATTTAGTTAAATATAATAATATATTTTAATAAATTACATTTGTAAATGTGAGAGGTTTTCAGAAATTTTCTACTCTTTTTAGATATTAGATTTATTTTAGGAGACAGAGAGATATTCCATTATCTATGAGAGAGATTGAGATTGAAACTTCTTTATTACAGCGCGTTCATATAAGGTTGTATATAAGGTTAAATACAACTAAATATATAAATATAAGAATATATAAAAATGATTATATAATGATAAATATATAAGTAAATAGATGTTAAAATATAAACATATTGATAAATATACATAGAGAGAGAGAGAAACCTGATAGACGATAATTAAATATATATATATGTATATTTAGATTATATAAATTAGAAATATTTATATAATTTGTTTTTTGACCAGAAGTTGATTAGTTGTTGTTTTTTATCATTAGAATTTATTTTTGTCTAGAATTGTCTTGAAGCCTTTTTATATATAACTGTTCGTTTTCTTTATTATATTTATTTAACTTTAAGCATATATAAAAGAAAATATGTAAAACGACTTTTAAAACTATTCCGCATGTCTTTCTTTTCAACAAAAGATCATTTTTTTTTAAAGGAGAAATAACGTTTATTTCTAGCCTTTGGGATTAGGTATGAAAGGGTGAAATGTGAAGAGTAATGATAAACGGAAAAATAAAACTGTCCAGGGATGGGAATCGAACCCACACTGTTCCGCTTACCGGGCAGATGCCATGTCCACTAGGCTACCCTGGACCTATTTTTCCGTTCGCAAATAATACATAAAGTAATTTATAATACAATATAATATAATGCGGATTGTGATTGTAAAACGACATTTTAAAACTATTCCGCATGTGTTTCTTTTCAACAAAAGATCTTTTTTTTTCAAGGAAAATAATGATTATTTCTATCCTTTGGATGAGGTATGAAAAGGTGAATTGTGAAGAGTAATGGTAAACGGAAAATAAAACTGTCCAGGGATGGGAATCGAACCCACACTGTTTCGACCCCGAACCCACAATTCACCCTTTCATACCTCATCTTAAAGGCTAGAAATAATCGTTATTTCTCCTTTAAAAAAAATTGATCTTTTGTTGAAAAGAAACACATGCGGAATAGTTTTAAAATGTCGTTTTACAATCACAATCCGCATTGTATTATATTGTATTATAAATTACTTTATGTATTATTTGCGAACGGAAAAATATGTCCAGGGTAGCCTAGTGGACATGGCATCTGCCCGGTAAGCGGAACAGTGTGGGTTCGATTCCCATCTCTGGACAGTTTTATTTTTCCGTTTATCATTACTCTTCACATTTCACCCTTTCATACCTAATCCCAAAGGCTAGAAATAATCGTTATTTCTCCTTTTAAAAAAAAAGATATTTTGTTGAAAAGAAAGACATGCGGAATAGTTTTAAAATGTCGTTTTACAATCACAATCCGCATTATATTATATTGTATTATAAATTACTTTATGTATTATTTGCGAACGGAAAAATATGTCCAGGGTAGCCTAGTGGACATGGCATCTGCCCGGTAAGCGGAACAGTGTGGGTTCGATTCCCATCCCTTGACAGTTTTATTTTTCCGTTTATCATTACTCTTCACATTTCACCCTTTCATACCTAATCCCAAAGGCTATAAATAATTGTTATTTCTCCTTTAAAAAAAATTGATCTTTTGTTGAAAAGAAAGACATGCGGAATAGTTTCAAAATGTCGTTTTACAATCACAATCCGCATTATATTATATTGTATTATGAAAATATGTGTTAAATATCTCTTCCTTTGTTTTGTAAGTAAATAATCTTTAATAAAAATAAGATTTTGTACATTTAAGCTATCCTCTTATTTAATAATAATCCACGCCTAATATAGATTCGACAACAATATGGTAGCAGAGCGTGATTATTAAATAAAACGTAAATAAAATTTTAAAATATTTAGAAATATATAAAACTAAAGAAATGGAAATGGATATTTTAGCTTCACCAAAACTGGAATTGCTCACAAATAGTAATTATGCGATTTGGAGTATGAAAATAGAAGCCTTGTTAGATTCAAGGGATCTTTTTGATAATGTTATTAATAATCCAAATACTACAAAAGATGATAAAAATGACGACGCTTTTAATGAATGGACTAAGAAAAATAAACAAGCTCTTGGAATAATTATTCTTAGTTTGTCATCTGATCAGGCTATCGCCTACAAAGGTATCAAAAATGCACAAGAATTATGGAATACTATAAAACTCAGATATGAAGGAGAAGCTGAAGATAAATCTATGATTCCATGAACTTAGACAGGTTGACACAAATACAATTTTTAAATTGATAAGGACTCTAGGAATTTATGGCATAAAAGATTGGGACATATTAATGACGATTACGTGTCAAGAATGAAAAGGGATGGCATGGTCCGAGGACTCCATGACTTGAGAGGCGAGGGTGGAATATGCCAAGCATGCATAACAGGGAAAATGCCTCGCACACCTTTTCAGGCAACTTATGATGAAACTGCAAAGAGTACCTTAGAATGCCTACATATTGACCTATGTGACCTCATGAAAGAAGGACCCTTAAGTGTGAACAAATATATGATGGTTGCTATTGATCAATATTCTAGAAAATATTTTGTGAACTCTTTGAGTTCCAAGGATGAAGCATCTAACAAATTGAAAGATCTGATCAATAGCATGGAAAATGAGTTAGATAAAAAGGTCAAAAGAAATAGAACAAATAATGGATTAGAATTTATCAACAGATCATTAGAATAATATTTTAAAACTAAAGAAATAAAACATGAGAAAACTTGTAATACTCACCAAGAAGTAATGGCATCGCAGAAAGGGTGAACAGAACATTACTCGAAAGAGGCCGGAACCCTCTTATCTGGTGGAGGCTTGCCCGTCAAATTTTGGGCAGAAGCAAAGTAAATATGTGTTATCTCTTCCTTTGTTTTGTAAGTAAATAACAAAACCTCATAATTTTAAATACCAGATTGCGCTTCTCCTGATTCAAATTATATCGATATATAAAATTTTAAAATACATATATAAAAATATATAAATATAATTAATGTTTTTATCTAAATAAAATTTTCGAAAAAAAAAAACGAACTTTATTTACAAACCAATATATAAATTAAAAAATATATGGACTTTGGAATTTTAAGAATTAATATATATTACAATAAAATTTGTCAACAACAGTCAATTTCTAAGCGCCCACCTGCTCAGAGTGGCCAACGTTTGGACATCACACTCTCTATCAAAACATTCTTTCTCAAGCGACCTTTATTTCAACTCATTCTCAACAATCTCAAAGTTATATATCTTATATTCCATATGAATCCTGTTTTTTTACGATGGGCATTTCAAAGTCTGCTTGATGTGAGAAGAGATCATCAATGGATGGGCCAATACAGTCAATAATGTGTTTGGGGTTGCAGGTTGAGAATTGTACTTAGTACATAGTGGAAAAACCTTATTTTGTTTGATGAAAAGAAGGTATAGAGTGTGGTGTTGGAGAAGTTATCTAACCCAGTGTTGGATCACCAGGTTCAGACGGCCGGCTACGGGTGGTGTCCGGCGGGGACTTGGTAGTTCTGAACACCACGGGGACTGACGCGGTCCCGGGCTACGTTTGCTCGGTGCGACACTCCGTCACCGGTCGGGAGGTCCGTAGTGGACCTGGTCGCCTTATTGTCACAGGTAAGTCCTTCTTAGGGAATCCGTCTCTTGGATGACTACTCGTCATATTGACTTCAAGATTCCGTCTAGATGCTAATTATGATGAATTATTATAAACCAGTTCATCTAACGCTTTATCTATTTATATACAACAAATACAAAAGGGGTTTGGTGGAAGGATGGTCTAAACCGTTGGTTTTCGACCGCTTCGACCCGGGTTCGATTCCCGCATTGGGCACGTTTTTTTTTCTGATTTTTCTCGATTCTTGCAAAGAGCCCAACCTCACCAGCGAGTGCAAGTAACCAAACGGGTCTCTGGTACATTTGTAAGTGCAAAGTCGAACTCTTTTCACATGTGTAGACATGTGGTGCACTTACAGTAAAAGGCAGTCGCCTACTTCTACCCACAATGATCATCATGGCCTGTACCACGTGTACTAGGGATAAGCAAAAAAAAAATGTCAATAGATTTCTGGATAGGTATAAGACATGCCTGTCAAATATGAACTAAAAGCGTTCAATTGAGACTCATATTTTTGTATTAATAACTCTTTTGTGTATGCTGTGTATTTTATTTCATAATTCCTTATTAGTAATATAAGAGAATAATTGAATTTTACTAATCAAGAAAGTGATTTTTGTTTAGCGAAGAAATGTTATGTTTTAAAAATCAAAAACGGGTTCCTTTAATTAATTTTTTAAAGCATATATTCAATTATTCTTTTACTATTTAGCGTTATATAGAGAAATCCTTTTAAGTAAAACTTAGTTTTATTTGTGGACATTGACAGATAAGAATGATTAAATTAAAATACAATTAATGCTTTTGTGGGCTCTTATAAGTGGTAAACATTATCCCATCAATATCAGTTTAAAGTCAAATCTGGTGACCTCTTGGTTTAGCTGGTTCATTTATTTAAGATTTATATGGAAAAGATTAATTCTGTTGTCCTTCCATATGTCATTGACATAAGAGTAGGTCCATCCTCTTTAAAATCCATCTTCAACTTCAAGGGGGGTTGATTTCTCCTCTCCATAGGATCATGGATATTTATCCCGGTCTGTGATCAGCCTCCTCAGAGTTTAGACGTTATAGGGAGCGTTGTCCACCCATGGATGTTCCATGTAGGAATTTTAGCAGGATATCTGAACCGATGAGCAAAGGATTTTCAGTATCTTAAAAATTAGAAAAAACATTTATGCAAATCACACGAATTTACATATGTACGGCTTGAGTATTTGAACGGATTTTACCAGGAGATTTGACCCTATAGCAAGGCATTTCCAGTATCTTGATGTTGACATATTTACATAGGTATCTTTAAATCAAGATGATGTTAATCAATAAAAAGCAATACACCTTAATTCTGTGTCATAATTATAAAATCCCCTTTTTATCCAAATCACACGAATATACATATATACGGCTTGAGTATTTATACATAGAAAAATACGAGAGAACCTTTCATATATCCAGCTGTGTGAAAGGCCTCACAAATATCATATCAAATAAAATGTCCACCCTCCACCACATGGAGTCGCCAAATAGGGATTTTACCAAAGGTTCTGACCTTATAAGCAAGGCATTTCCATTATCTTTGGCACATATTTACCAAGGTATAAAGAAATCGAGATTATTCCAATCGTTAAAAAGCATTAAACCTTAGTTCAGTGTCATCTTTTGAAATTTATTTTTTAATGCAAATCACACGAATATCCAAATATACAAATTGATTATTTAAACGGATATAGTTATAAATTAGAACCTGCTATACAGCCGTGTGGAGGTCCTCATAAATATCTTGTCAAAATAATTTCCAGACCCGGCAAGGTGGAATCGTCAAGTAGGGATTTTACCAGGAGATCTGACCCTATATCAAAGCATTTCTAGTATCTTGGTGTATGTTAACATATTATCTCAAGAAATAAATATGGTTTTAATAGATAAATAGTAATAAACCTCATTGTAACGTTCAGTGTTACAATTAGAAAATCCATTTTTTCATGCAAATCACGCGAATGTACAAAAATACAGCTTGCGTCCTTATTTAAAAGCGAAAGCATAGGTAGAAATAGGAACTTTTATACTTCTAAGAGAGGCGTGCATTATTTTTAAAAATATTTTTAATGCAATCTTTAAAAGGCAGATTTTACATTTTTATACATGAATTGATCTTTCTGTAAAATTGCAATTTTTTTGGCCTTCATAAATAGACTTAATACTTCACCAGGTAGAACATCTTATGGATGGAAGACTATTTCATGACTACCCCATTTGAATTCTATGGATTCGTATCTCCATCCTCCCTATATGGATGAGACCCATTGCCCAAATTTGTGATATAATGATTGGCTATTTATAAATATAAACGTTGATTTAGGCTTGTTCCATGATATTTGAAGAGAGCTAACATCCAGAAACGCGTTTGTAAATGGATTTTCTTGATTTATAAAGATTGTCTTGATTTATCGAGAAAATGGGTTGGTCAAATATCAACATGCCTAAATCAATTATTCGTTATGTGTGTGGTCAGGATATGACTTTTTTGTTTTTAATATATATATTTCTAAACACACATTGTAAATTTTCAAAATTAAACCTCCTCTTTTGAAGTGTTAAGAATCAAATATAAATTTAATATCCCCACACAATCTCCAGGGTAACAATTTATCTTTGAATTTCAAATTCACAGAAATGCTCCTTTGGTTTCAATTTAGAAAGATTTGCAATTAAATAGGCTTGGCTTGATCCACTTCGAGTTGTTCGGTATTGAAAGTGAAGATCTTTGTTCTTTTTATTGAAATTTCTAAATGTCTAAATTACAGTGTGTTGCTGAGTAAATATATTTTTGAATATTATCTTTTCTCCCCCAGTTATGTGTGTA